GGGCCGCCGCTGGGCCCGTCTACCTCTGTGGGCTGCCGCTGGGCCTGAATGTATCTGCTGGCTACTGCCGGGTCTGAATATCCCTGTCGGCTGCCGCCGCTGGGCCCGTCTACCTCCACGGGCCGCCGGCACAGGCCTACCTGCGTCTGCTTGTCTCCGCCGCCGGGCCTGTCTACCTCTGTGGGCCGCCGCTGGGCCTGAATGTCTCTGCCGGCTGCCACCGGGACTGAATAGCCCTGTCGGCTGCCGCTGCTGGGCACGTCTACCTCAGTGGGCTGCTGCTGGGCCCGTCTACCTCTGCGGGCCGCCGCCGCAGGCCTACCTGCGTCTGCTTGTCTCCACCGCCGGGCCTGTCTACCTCTGTGGGCTGCCGCTGGGCCTGAATGTCCCTGCCAGCTGCTGCCAGGCCTGAATAGCCCTGTCGGCTGCTGCCGCTGGGCACGTCTACCTCAGCGGGCTGCTGCTGGGCCCGTCTACCTCTGTGGGCCGCCACTGGGCCTGAGTGTCTCTGCCGGCTGCCGCCGGGTCTGAATATCCCTGTCAGCTGCCGCCGCTGGGCCCGTCTACCTCCACGGGCCACCGCCACAGGCCTACCTGCGTCTGCTTGTCTCCACCGCCGGGCCTGTCTACCTCTGTGGGCTGCCGCTGGGCCGGCGTCTTCACATGCTGCTGGTCATGGCGGCGGCTGCAGTGTCTCCGGCAACTTTTATAAAGGAAAACAATTAATGTGGGCTGGCTTACAGTTTCAGAAGTTTAGTCCATTATTGTCATGGTAGGAAGCATGATGGTGTGCAGGCAGACATGGTGCTGGAGAGTTCTACATCTGGATCCTCAGGCAGCGGAAGAGAACTGGTTCAAAGTCCACACCCTAGTACCACACTTCCTCCAACAAAGCCACACCTCCTATCAGTGCCACTCCCTGTGGACCACGTATTCAAACACTTTAGTCTCTGGGGGCCATTCCTATTCAAACCACCACACCCTGTAATACCACTTCAGACCAAAGCCTGTTTGCCTCAAAGTGTCCTTCAAAGACCCTTGTCTAGGGCTGGGCGGCCTCCACCCAACTTCGCGACAGGGAGGAAAGAGATCAGCAAGACAGCTTAAGAGTAAACGTGTCGCACCCTTGAGAGCAGATAGAGGGTGAGCACTGACAATAGAGGGTGAGCACTGACAATAGAGGGTGAGCACTGAC